GCTCCCTGGCATCCAGGGTCGCTGACACCCACCCAGTCACCTGCCCCCTCTGCGCCCCATCGTGGTGAGTGGCTGACAGGCGCTGGGCGCAAACCAGGCTGAGACGGACTTCCCTGGAGGCCCAGCCCCAGTTCCGGCCCCAGGTTGCAGGGTGAACAAGGAGGCGGAGGAAGCGGAGAGAGCGCACGTCCCGATCCCCTGAAGCTCGTCCCCGCACGTGGCATCTAATCTGGCATTTCGATATTTAGCTTGGGAGGTGGGAGCACATACTTCCCAGGGCTCTGGGTAATGACCACCCTGGCCTTCTTTCGGAACATGGGGGCGATTTTAGGAGGTTCCGGAACTGGGGTTTCTTCCGTTTCCTCGTGGTCTTCGTGATGGAGATCGTAGGAAATGTTTCCGTATTCTCGCAAAAATGGGAAGATTTCAAGCAGAAACTGACAGAAATCTTTGCGGATGCCAAACCACCCTGGAAAATAAGAATATTCTCTTTCAAATGCTGAACGTGAGTGACTTTTGGGTTAACCCTCCTGAATGAGACTTTTGCTTGTACAATGTGGCAACCTTTTATCCAGATGCCTCAGGAGTGAAACTTGAAAAACCCCCAAGTACCCCCAATGGGGGGAGGCACCAATGCTCTCTATGGGACGTTCGAAGGGGGTTCTCAGACTGGCAGCACCAATGTCCCTGGGGACTCGCTAGGGTTGTGATTCTCGGGCCCCACGCCAGCCTCCTGGATTAGAAACCATGGGTTGGGCTGGGGTGGGCTCGGGCGGTCCACCTTTCCTGGCCCTTGAGGGATGCTGCTGGGCATTCAACTTTGGGCAGCACAGCTCTGGGGACGCTCCAATATCTGCGGTGTCAAGGCTATGTGGTCTTCCTCCAAGCATCTGCACCCAGGATAAACCCATGGCTGACAGTGCCATCCAAGAAAAGGACTGCTGTCACCCTCTGGAATCTGGAAGGGTGCAGACGCGTGTGGGTCCAGCCCAGAGGGCAGCTCCCAGGGCTGCCTTAAAGCTACTTCCTTGAAGCCCACTGTCCTCTGTGCACAACCAAGCTGTTGGCTGGGCGCTGGCTCCCCCGGGGCACAGGCAGCAGGCACACACCTGGCCTGCAGTCAAGACCTTGCCCACCACCCCACAGGCTTCCAGAAGGGCAGAGCCCTGGGGTTACACGTGATGGAACTCACAGCCTCTTGAGGAAGGGGCCCTCCTCAGAGATCGTTTCAGCTGTGTGTACCACAGCACGCGGTGAAGAGGAAGAGAGAAGAAGCACGACACCACTGACAAGACTCGTGAGGGCCACAAGGACACAGGGGAGGGGAAGGGACAGAAAGGGACCTCGAGCGCCTCCCAGGTTTGGGATGGGAGTTGTGGATTTTTAACTTATCGTCTCGCACCCTGGAAGTCGGGACCCTGATTCCCCTTCTGCAGACAAGGATGCAGGAGCTCTGAGGCTGCTCGCCTTGTTGGTCCTCCCTCAGACGGCCGTGTGTGCCATCCTGGAAGTCATGGTCCTGGCCGGCAGAAGGCCAGGGGGACAGCACACCCTTTCCTTGCAAGGGCCCAGAACTTGCTTAGCCGAGGTCTTCCCATGCCAACTTCTAACTCGGTGCTCTCAGACTCCCCTTTTCAAAGGCTGGGGCCGCCCCCCACCCCACCCAACCTACGTCGAGAGCCCCTGAAATGCCGAGGACGTACAGTGGTTTCCTCCCTTCTGCCCAAACGTGGTGGCCATGAGAGTGATCAGCGAGAGCCACAGAGGGACGAATATCGGGATACAGGAGAAGGCGTTGTGGCCGTCCAGTTTGTGAACCAGCAGAATCTAAAGAAAGAGACACAGTCAAGGCCTTGGTGATGCAACCTCTGGAAAGGGACAGAGTCAGAAGCCAGGTCTCCTTAGGCAGACTCTTCCCTGGAGGTCTCAGAAGAGGGAATGTCAGCTCCGCGGGCGATGGCAGAAAACCACCCGTCCACAGGGGAAAGAGCAAATGAGCTTTCACATCCCTCTTCAAGGCCAAGCGAAAGTCCGTCTACTGGAAATGTTCACAACACCAGGAGTACTGCGGAAAATTCTTCCTGGTGTTTGTTCTATGGAGTCAGCAGTGTCCATTCTAGAGTTTTCCATGGGAGTCAAATACAAACAGCGGACACCCAACCTGCCCCTTCCAAATGTGGAAACTCAAGGCATGCAGATGCCACATGGCTGGGAAAGTGCACGTTTCTCTCTTTCAGCCCCCATTCTCCCTGCCCCCCAAGGAAGGTCATTCTCATCCTACTGACATTCCCTCCCAGAGTGGGCTCCCTGCAGTGGCAAGAGGCAGCTAGCTGCCTCTGTGGAGGTGCAGGACGCGTGGGCTTCGGGGCCTGCAGAGGTCTCCCGTGGAAAGCTTACCTCAAAAGTCAGAAGAGGCACGACGATGGTCATCCAGCTCAGGGCCATGGTGATGTGTGTCCTGCGCTGTTCTGCAATCACATCCATAGAGCGCAGGAACAGGACGGACCACACGATGTAGTAGAGGACCACCAGGCACAGAAAGGACATGAGGATCCACAGGGGGACACACACAACCTGAGGGAAGGGCAAGAGAAGATGTGTCCTTAGAGCCCCCACCCTGGCCCCTGCAGGCCGGCGACCTCGAACCCTTGCTGGGTCTCTGCAGTTGAGACGGCACAAGCCCGAGGAAGACAGTCCCACCTCCCAGGTCTGCTGTGACGATTGCGTGGGAAGGAAAGGGGACAGTGTGTTCACTCAAGGGCCCACCCCAGGGGCCCCTGACACCCAGTCCCTCTTCCTTCGGGGAACAGCTTTGCTTCTGGCCCAGCGGCCTCTGCTCTGCCCTCCCTCCCTCCTTCTTCCCGTCCTCCCTCCTAGACATACTCATTCAGACTGTCCCTGTGCATACACGTGACCTCACCCTGATGGACTCTCTTCCCCAGTAACATTTCCAGAGCCTGCTAGAAGTCCTCGGGCAACACCTTTGGGAACCCGTTTTCCAAAAGACGTTGGCTGCCTGAGTCTTCACGGCTGCCTGGGACCCCACTCCACCCCTAGCGAGTTGACGCTGGGTCTGCACAGCTCCCCTGTCCTCGCCGCCACGCCAAGGCACATTCTGAGTCTGCGGCTGTCTGCTAGAAAGACCTTGTCTCACCCCCACAAAAACCCTGAGGATGAGTCCCGGGGGCGTCACCTGGTCAGGTTCCCCTGTGTCATCTTTTCTCCCTCCTGCCCTTCCCCCAGGACGACTTCTCAGTTCTCTCTTTTCCTTGTATTATCATACAAAGCGACTGTCTTCCTAGAGCATAGAATTCTGTGAGTTTTAACATGAATGTCAGTCTCAAAGCCCAAGACAGGACGCAGAAGGCGTCTGTCGCCCTGTGAAGGTCCTTCATGCTGCCACTTCGCTGATACCCCACTGTAACCTTGGAAACCACTGATGTGTTCTCTGCTATTGTACTTTTGTCTTTGCTAGAATGTTCTCCAGAAGGAGTCACACAGCCTGCAACCTGTTGAGACTGGCTTCTCGCCATCTGCTTGTCTTTGAGATTCACACCAGTTGTTCCCTGTATCCGCAGGCTGTTCCCTTTCATTGCTGAGTGCTAGTCCACCGTATGGATGACTGCAGTCTGTTATCCAACTGTCCACCGAGGGCCATTTCCAGCTTCTGGCTATCGTGAACAAGGCCACTCTACACAAAGTGCCCGGTTTTCTAGGCGGCTGTACGTTTCCATTTCTCTAGGGTAAATACCCAGGAGTGGGACTGCTGGGTCACACGGTAAGTGCGTGTTTCACCATGTCAGGAACGGCCAAACCATCTTCCAGAGAGCCTGTACCATTCTGCCCCCCCGCCAATAACGTAGGAGTGTCTCGGTTTATCTATATCCTCCCCAGCTCTCGGCCTTGTCACTATCCGAGGTCAGCCATTCTGAGGCACGTGTCGCACGACCTCCTTCTGGTTTTCACCTGCCTTTCCCTAGCGGATAATGGTGTTGAGCATTGTTGCTCATGCGTCTTCGCCATGTGCGTGGTCCCTCTGTGAATCCTCTGTCGTGTCTTTTGCCTGTTTTTAAACGCGGTGTTTTCTTGTTTTTGAGTTTGAAGAGTTCTTTGTATGTGAGTCAATGTTTTGATCAGGGATTGCCAAATATTTTCTCCCAACCTGTGGCCTGTCATTTCATTCCTTTTAATGTTGAAGAAGTCCACATATGCGATGTCTTTCTTTTATGGGCCCTCTTACCAGTGCCACTGTGCTAAGTACGCTTGGCCTCATTGCAGGCCCCAAATATTTCCATCCTGTGCTTTTTTCTAACAGATCGGTAGTTTTACAGTTGGCGTTTAGATCTATGGTTCAAGTCGGGATGTGATATTGACTCCTCCTGACTGGCTTAGAGCTGGGTTGTGGGTTTTGCTGCAGTCTTTATACTGCCTGTCTGCTCCCGTCCAAAGCACACCCGTGACAAGCCTCTCCTTTACTGGAGTTCCCTCCACAGTGGAATGTTAGGTTTCAGCCTCACTTGCTCTCTTTTGCTCACTGGGGAAAACACAGAGTCAGACTGCTTCATCCATTGAGATCTGCACGGGATCTCTCTCTGCTCACTTGTGGAAAAAATCCCTCTGCTCACTTGTGGAAAGCAAACTAAATTACTGATCTTCTCCCCTCCCCGCCCCCGTTGTATCTTATACTAAGAATGTGGCCTTGTCTGGGCTTCTTTTTTCCATGTCACAGGAGAAACAGTTTTGAATCCACTCACCACTTTCCAGAACTCTGAAGAGGAAGGAGGAGAGCCTGATCAATAGTGTTGGTTAGGAATCTTCACCAGAGACTTTGGGTGGAACTGAGGAATCCCATCTTGACCTCGACTGTGGAGTCTACTGATGTCTCCTTATGTTTTGGAATCTACTTCACTTCTTCCCTGCCCCCAGCTGAATTTTTTACTAGAGCCTTTGCTCTTTTTCAAGAGTAAAGTATATTTAATGCAGCAAATGTCTTGTGTGCAAAAAGAAACATCAACCAGCAGAGAAAATAAAGCCCAAACAAAAACACTAGCATGACCTCACTTCCCAGAGGTGATGGTGTTCTTCGGCTTTTGGTCTCCCTCTCCTTACTAGGCCTTTCATAGCGGAAACCATGCTGTGTTCTCTGATTTGTAGCTTGCCACTTCTCCATCCTTCTGCCCATCCGTCTACAGTTGGTTTCAGACAAAGGCCCCGTAACTGAAGTCACAGTTAGTAGTTTGACTTAGCGCCCACCCCCGGCAAAAGTGTCTGTGGATACAGCTCTTTGAAAAACAAGTTGTCTGTGCAGTATATGTATTTAGGAGTATCAAAAGTTCCCATCCTCTAGCCTAGTAATACTGTTTCTGGGGTATTTCCCAGGAGAGCCTTTTTTTTAAGGCAGAGATTTTTGCGCACAGACATACACACTGCAGCATGACTTACACTCGCTGAACACTGGTGACAGAGGAAATATTCTGTTTTAGAAATGCGGAGATGGTTTGATAAGTGCATCTGAAGAACACTTTCCATCAATTAAACTTTAAAAGTTATGTTACCAAGGCCTTTTATTAACAAGACAACATGTTTGTGATGCAACAGTAAAACAAAAAAGGAAGGTACAAAATTACATACGTGCTAAGAGCTCAACTCCTGGTATAAAGCAAGGAAATACAAAAACACTAACCGTGTTATCTGCCCGTGGTGAGGGCAGAGGTGATTATTAGTCTATTACCTACTGTTGTCTGTCTGTTCCAAGATGTCTACAATGAACACAAATTACATTTATAATGAAAAAAAGAAACATTTATTTAAGGATTCAAAAAGTTACATACAAGCCAGGGCCAGTGGATGATCTTGTCCAGTCTTAAGGCAATGAATATAAACTGGAGAATGTTGACAGAACACAGGATTTCTAACTAAAAATGAAGAGAAGAATCAGTTAAACAACGTGTAAGTGGCATTCAATACTGTAGTCATTGGGTTAGCACACTGAAAGGCAAGGCACATGACAGGACAGTGGAACCTGTGCCGTGTGGCACTGGAAGTTCCTGACTCGCGGTCCCAGAGGAGCACAGCAGCGCCGCGCCCAGAGGTGGGGCCCGGCCTCCCGGCTCGCCCCTCTGCTTGGTGCCACCCTGGCCCTCCTGCAGCTCAAGGCCTGAGTGCAGGTGAGGACCTGGCTTCCAGGCTCACCGGGAACAAAAGTCAGCGCCCCGGCTCACCACGTGTCCTTCCGGCCCCTCCCGAGGAGTGACTCGACTCTCCTACCCCGGACTCGCCCCCGCATCCCAGCACTTGCTTTCTGGCCCCTTGAGGACCTTGGCGCGCCCAGCCATCAGTTATAGATTCTCTGCTGCCTCTTTAGCCCTGCCTCTTTAATTGATCCCTCCTAGCAGCACAGAACGAGTTAGCTCCCTCCATTCATCACCAAAACAACCCCCAGCCCAAATACACCCACACCTCTCTCGATCCGGAACCCCTCCTAGCTCTCTCCTTGTGAGACAGGAATGATACTGGAGCCCCTGCTGTCTCTGGTGCTGTTCCAAGCTTCCTCCACCGTGATCTACCCTCCACCCCATGGCAGGAAACGGCTTTCATCCAAGTCACCAGTGACCAGGAGGCAGCAGAACACTGCAATCCATGGCCTGCTGACACTGTGGACGCCTTCTTCCTTCTAGCTTCCCTCGTCCTGGCCTTCTAGCATCCGTCATGCGGTCTTGGAGCTCCCCTGCTCCCCTCAGTGCTCTGACAGCTCCTTCAGTCTCCTTCGCCCCTCCTTCTGTGGCGAGACTCTCCAGAGCTGCAAACTCAGCCTTCTCTCCCTGCAAAGGAGACAGGCACACAAATCCACACACTTCCACTTACTCACTCACTTCACCCTGGGGCTGGGGGGAAGACATTTCAGTCAGAACTCTGGCTTGCACGACCTCCTTAGGGGTTCACGCTCAGATCCGTCTCCACCTTAGCCTTCCTGCTGCACGCCAGACCCAGCTGTGCAATGGGCCACTTGGCTCTCCTAGAGGCATCTCAAATGTAGCCAGGTCCCCCGCGAATTCATTACCCCAGCACCTGGAGCCTTGCCCCTCTCCTCTCTATCGTCTCCCACAGCACTGTGAGGCACCCGGAGCACAGGAAGGCCCGGGAATCTGGGAAGCAACCTCTGTTCTTCCCCACACTCTCATCTTCCCTCGCCAGATCCTGTCCTCTGTACCATCCTGACTTCTCCTGAACCCCCACCCTCTCTCTATTCCAATGCTGACTGCCACGTGAGGTCCTGCTCACTGCCCCCCAACACCTCAGCAGACCCTCACTCGCCTCCCTGCCTCCAGCCTCGATGGCCCCCTGCTCCCAAACGCCTTCCAGGCTGCTCCTCATTCTGAAAGTACATTCTGGGGAGAGTCGCCAACAGAACGGAGGTCGGTGACCTGGCTCAGAGCCTCCTACAAGTTCTCAGTTTACACAGCATTTAGTGACTCAGGAAGTCTTCCATGGACCTTACAGGCCGAAAGAAATGCCTAACTGTTGTACTTATTTAAGTAATTACATATAACTTGGTATATTTCTGCCCTCAGTAGTCATTTCAAAAAAGAATTCATAGACATCAAAAGAAACATATTATTTTAATTTCACTCTTGAATGACCACAACTAATTCCTCACGGGATATGCATGCCTGCCGGGTAGTTCACAACTGCCCTTGCCTTGGGATCAGACAAGGCATTCCTGCTCTCATTGTCTATCCTTCACCTGGAGTTTCCTACTGCCCTGGCCTTTTCCCCACAGCAACTGCTGAAAACCCAGCTTCTTAAAGACATGACGTCATGGAAATGAATGCAGCGTGACCTAATCACAAACCTGTGAACAGTTTGGAGCTAGCAGTTTTTATGGTGTTCAACAAACGTCAAGTACCACTGTTTTCCTCGAGTTGCCCACTATGCCCTGGTGCAGCAAGTATTCAGCCACCTTGGCTCATGCTCTGCAGGCCGAGAATGTGGTCCCTGTTCAATCCAGCCCGAGTAGAGGGTCCTTTCTCCCGTGTCCACAATTGCCTCCTTTCCATTTCAGGCTCCAGTCCTATCTGAGTTTTCCGAAGTCCACTAAGCTGACAACTTCCTCCCACCTCTGGGCTTTAGAGTGCCTGAACAGAGTCCCCCTTCCCTCCCAACACAGGGCTTGCTGGCAGACCCCAGTTCCTTCCCGTCTCTGTGTGACCTACACTGGATCACACTCTCCCCAATGTAGGTGTTTGTCCTTGTGTCACAGAACAGGGGACTCAGCTCCCAGCATGTTGTTTCTTCCGTGGGTAGGAATTCCCAGAATGTGAATGTGTGAAAGATTTGCTGCATTCATGCCCAATGCAGTACCAGTCCTTGTACAGTATCTGTGGGGGATTGGTTCCAGGACTCCCCACTGATACCAAGGTCCAGGGATGCTTAAGTTCCTGACATAAAACAGGAGTCACAAGGAGGGTGACAGCTGCCATCAGAGGTACTCTCCCTCAAAAGCCCACCTCTACCCACCAGCCACATTCATGCCATATCCTTTCCACCAGCACTAGAGTCAAGGAACTGCTTCCATTGTTCAACGCCAAGCCCTTCCTGGTGCTCTGGGTCTTGGTCCCTCTGGATTCCACAGGGTCTTGATCCATCCCTGTCCCACTCTCCATGCACCTTGCCCAAAGCCTATACCTAAGGTCAAGGCATCCAGGCCCGACCCAACCTCCAGCTGCTGTGTTCTCTTTTTTTTTTGAATTGGAGTCTCACTCTGTCGCCCAGACTGGAGTGCAGTGGCCGCTCCCGGCCACCGCAGCCTCCACCTGCTGGGCTCGGGCGATCCTTCCACCTCAGCCTTCCAAGTAGCTGGAACTACAGGCGTGTGCTACCACGCCTGGCTAGTTTTTGATTTATTGTAGAGATGAGGTCTTGCCAAGTTGCCCAGGCGGTTCTCGAACCCACCGGTTCACGCAATCCACTCACCTCGGCCTCCCAAAGGCACGGGATTACAGGCTGAGCCACCGAGCCCAGCCGCTGTGTTCTCTTCTAACCCAGCTGCAGGTTCCTTCCTCCAGGCCTTATCCACATGGCCCAAAACAAGGATTTTTCAGGCATTAGTACACAGCTTTGGGCCCACAGGTTGTGTGCAGCGAAGTGCTTGGGCATCGAGTCAGGTTGATGAAACAATTCCGGCCCTGCCCCTTCATGTGTGACCATGAACAAATGAAGTATTCTTTCTGGAAAACAACTGCACCTACTTCACAGGGTTGTTGTGAATATTTGATAAGACACCATGCATGTAATGTGGCTAACACAATGCCTGGCACACAGGAAGTGCTCAGTAAACATTATCCACCCTTATTTTCATTACTAGTATGGGTATTACTAGTCCTGGTATTGTATTCAACTGTATATCCCCTATGCTTGGGTAAAAAGGGCGAGGCATATAGTAAACACTTGATAAATGCTTACTGAGTAAATAAATAAACACATGGGCACATCAGGATAAGCTAGCCAGAGAGCAGGTGAGATGCTAGATCATGGGGTCTGAGGTGGTGAGAAGGTCAGTTTTGTGTGCTAACTGAACTGCGCTGTAGGACCCAATTATTCAATCAAACATGAAGCTAGGTGTTGCTGTGAAGGTATGTGAGTATAGGAAATGGCCCTCCATCATGTGGGTAGGCCTCATCCCATCAGCTGAAGGCTTTAAGAGCAAACACTGTGGCTTCCTGAAGAGGAAGGAATTCTGCCTCAGGACTGCAGCCTCAACTCCTGCCGAGTCTCCATCCTGCCGCCTGCCCTACAGACTGCAGACTTGCCAGCTCCCGTGATCAAGTATGCCACCTCCTTAAATCTATCTCTCTATGTCCCCACCTCTTCTCCTGGTTCTGCTTCTCTGGAGAAGCCTGGCGGTTATAGGCCCGGTCGGGAAAGACATGAAGACAGGAGAGAAAGGCTGACGACCTGTGTGGAAAAGCCAGTGTTCTAAGTCTGAGAGAGAAATACATATGTCTATCATCTTCTGCTGCCTTATGTCCCATGATCTAGAGTTGTGAGCCATCAGTCTCTTCCCAACACATGACAAGAAACTGACATCTGAATAACTGACCAACATGTGTGACTTTTGAAAACTTTCTTAAATATATGAAATCTCACCTCTAGGGACCTGTCATGTCGAAAGCCCCAAACGCAAGCAGCAACAGACACCGGGGAAACAAAGAACAGTGGCATGAAGACCAGAAGCCAGAAGTGGCTTCCTCTCTCGATTCTGTCACAGACCAGAACTTCAAACATTAGCAGAAGCAAGTGGATGCCCACTGCAATCAGCATGGCCTTAAATTCCACACACGTTTCTCCTTCTGCTCTAAAAAGGGAGAGAGGGAAAAGAAGAAAAAGCCCCCTCAGTTCGGAATCTCCATTACAAGCAAGCAGCTATTGGCAGATACTAACTTTTGCTGACACTTTGAAATTTACTTGTAAATTGGACAAAAAGTGAAGGAAAATCGGGTAGCGAGCTAACTTGAACCAAATCTTTAATAGGTAACCTTTCAGCACCAAAGAACTACTAAATGACAAGAAATGAACACATTACAGCCAAACCAGGCTTTAATGTTTTGGCTATGTAAGGATGTTCTTAGAAGCAAAAGCCAGTTACGATTTCCCATACAACGCCCATATACTCTTTTGTTTATTTCTTTAAATTCCTCAGCAAGAGTTACTTCCAAGAGTATTCAAGCTGACTGCTTCTACTGCTAAAGCAGACACATATCCCTTAGGTCGCATAATCCTCATCTTTCAATGAATAAAAGTCACATAAGTCAGATAACATGCAATACTATAAAAACAACTCTAGCTCTGTGAACAATGCTGGTTATAGTTCAACAAGCCATAGTAACTACTGTTAGGTGCTATTTTAAAATGAAAATAAAAAGTATAAATGGTTCTTTATTTTCCTTTTGATTCCATTAGGATAAATTAACACCTGTGGATGAAAGAGAGAGAACAAATGAGTTAAATCTGTGTTCAAATAAAATCAGTTTAATTAGCTGTTGAACTATCATGCATGGACTTTAAATAGATTTATAATTGAAAAATGGTAAGGCCATTGATTAGGAAAAGGCTTTATAATGCACTGAAAAACTACAATGTTCACTCAAAATACAGATGAACGCTTCTGGCATATATATCAGAAGATATATATATATATATATATATATATATATATATATCTTGCTGCTGATACATAAACCTGAGTTTAGGACACAGATAAAAGAGGTCAGATGTTATTCCTGTAGGACCCTACAGCTTTCCTTTGGACATGTACAGACCATGTATGTACGCTCCATACATTCACCCCACACCCACAATTCATTTCCTTGCTCAAAAAAACCTTAAATCAAACACTTCTAAATATTAATTAGTGGAACTCAAAAGGATTAGTTATTTACCTTTTCATTCTTTGAGAAGCAAACATTAGTTATCTGAAAATACCTCATAAAAAATAAAAGATGGACAGCTACACAGGTCATCAATCTTTCAAAAAACATCTAGGAACTTTAAAATAGTTGCACATGAATGTCTCTCACCTGCCAAGGTTCTTGGTGTAGCTAGTTTAAAGTTCTTCGAATGTATAATATATAATCTATGTGATCTGAATCTTATTTTTGGAGTTAAAAACCAAGAATTTTAAAAGTTGAGGTGGCTGATTTCAAACCAGGCAAAGTGGGGACCCAAGGGAGGCCCAAACTTTACCTGTATGATGACCACGTGTACACCTAATCCTGAATTGTACCCCACATCTTTAAAATAAAAATAAAAGACTTAAAAAAAAAAGTCGAGGTAGTCTCAACTTCTACACTTTTCTCACATGAGCAGCTACACGTATCTCCCCCTTCCCTCCCCACCTGACTACTGGGCATTCCTGCTCTCCCCATCTTCCTGGAAAAGGTGCACAGTAGCCTCTACCCTCAAGCCCCACCCCCTTTTCCTGCATGTGTTTCCAGTCTCTATGAGAGAGAAAAGGAAAGACTCTCACAGGCCCCAGCAACATCAGGTTGCACATGGGAATGAGCTGACTCCCAGGAATTTGGACCAGCTAAGACATCCAAGAAGAGCAGGGTAGTGGGGCTGGAGATGGTAAAGATCACCCTTCTCCCCTGCCCCCAAAGACTCTGCTCTCCTTCTCAGCAGCCAGCCTCAACTTTCCTCATTCCCAGCCCCTGTCTGAGGGGCTCATGGTCTCCCAGCCAACCCACCTCCCGCACAGCACTAACAGCCTTAAAACCCCAGGACAAGGACAGGGGGACAAGAGGAGGCCCAGTTTCAAAATTGACTTGGGGGAAGGGAGACCCCTGATGACCAAAGTTGGAACTGTGAATGCCTGTTCTCATCAGAGGAGGGTGGTTTCGTGCTTCTTAGTCTAGAATGGCATGCCAGTTCTGTGTTTGGGTGCATTTGGGGTTATACAGATATTTGTGGGCTGGCAGGGAACTTAATCTCCCAAAATAACAGTGCTTTGGTAAGAAAATACATATCAAACACCTATTTTCCAAAACATGGATGAGATCCCACTTTGCCTGTATTGTAGTTCTTGTAAAACCCCAGCGAGATAGAGAAGGAAATGGACCTTACTTCATTAAAGGTGACATTGCTCCCTCGGGTTAGAGACCAATGGATTTTGTAAAGCAGTATTACCGATATTGAGGATTTCGTGCCCAGACTCCCGTTCCAACTGAGGCTCCAACAATGACCATCAACTTCCACAGCCATATTGGAGCAAAGACGGCCCAGTAACTCCACTGAATGATGCCATCCAAACGAAGGGCCAGCAGCACAGAGAACAGCAGCAGGCAGGCATAGATGAGGAATTTACTAGGGGAAAAGTGAAATCATTAAAGAAGATTCACTTTCACAAACACGTGATCCTGAAATGGGAAGTAACAAGAGCAACATTTTCCAGCACGTAGAAAGAGTCACAAAGCCCCTCCCACTGGGGAGCTTTTCTGTCTTCTCAATAAATCCTGCTTTCTTTCCCCCCCCCAGAAAAAAGAGTCAAAAATTCAACCATCATTTATCCTGGTAGAAGAGAGTGTGCACAGAATTGTTTAATTATACTACAGCATGATGTTTGGGATGGGAACCGGGAAGAGGAAATACGGACTGTGTCTGAGGAAATACTGGGAAGCAGAGAAGTGGTGCCCTTGGAGCTAGTTCTGGAGAACACATGGAAAGCTGCTGGGCAGGAAAGAAACTAAGATGAGGAAGCATTCCAGGCAGAAGGAACTGGCAATACCAAGACACGGAGACTGGAAGAGTCGGACGTGTTCAGAATATGGTCAAGTTCTGTCATTGACTGATGATTTGTTTCTATTTTTTAAAAGGCAGCCATCTGCCATGTTCATATAGCATGAGCATTTCACACATGTATTATACTTTCCATGACTGAATAAATTACACGCACACACTCATATCTCATATAACAGGGAACTGCTATAGAAGATGTCCTTGAAATATTAATTAGAATTTACACTGTTGAAGACTTTAACTTCCAGCCTTAATATAATAACAGGAATAGGATTTACCTGCCCACCTTAAACAAGAAACTGGACAAAATCTACAAACAATCTTTTTCTGACACTGACAATAGGCAGTGGAGAACAGGGAGGGGGGAGACAAAGGAGATAAACCCTATCACTGACCCAGCTTATTGACTGGAGGCAGTTTCCAGGCTGCAGCAAGAAGGTAGCTAAAATTTAGTCCTGTCAATAATTACATTAAGTGCAAATGGCTTAAATATCAATTTAAAGACAAAGATTATCAGATAGCATAAATAAGCAAGACAACTATATGCTGCCTACAAGAAACCTACTTTATCTATCTACAAAATCAAAGACAGATTCAAAGAAAAGGGACAGAAAAAGTTACCAGACAAACACTAATCAGAAGAAAAGCAGAATGACTATATTAATATATTTTAGTCTCCTATTGTTGCTGTAACAAATTACCAAAAATGCAGCAGCTTGAAACAACATAAATTTAGTATCTCACAGTTCTGTATGATAGAATGCCAGATGGACTTGGTTGGTGTCTCTGCTCAGACTCTCAGAAGGCCAAAATCAATATGTCCATTGGTGGGGCCCTTACCAGGGAACTCTGGACAAAATCCTCTTTCAAGTTCACTCAGTTTGTTAACAGAATCCAGATTCTTGTGGTTGTAGGACAGAGGCACTTGTTTCTTTGCTTGCTGTCACCTGGCAGCCACCTTAGATACTCGAGATCTCTCTTGGGTCCTTGTACATAGGCCCCTACATGTCAAAACCAGTAACAGTATACAAATCTTTCTCACACTTGGGATTCTTCTGACTTCTCCTATTTTCATATCTCTCCTGCTTCCAGTTAGAGAAAGTTCTCTGCTTATAAGAGTTCATGGAATTAGGTTGGATTCACCTCAATAAACCTGGCCAATCTCCCTATTTTAAGGTCCTTCACTATGGTAAATACAGTTTTTAAAACGTTTCCCAAAATTACTTCCTATTGGTTATCCAACCAAACACTAATCTAAGTACTACTCTCAAGGGCCTTTGCAGATGGAATTGAGGTTACTAATCAGCTAACCTTACAACAGGGAGCGTATACTGGATTATCCAGGTGGGCCCAATATAATCACATGGCTTGTAAAAGAATAGGGAGGCAGAAGAGTAAGTCAGAGAGATGCAGTGGAAGAGGAGATGAGGCAGAAGAGGAAGGCAGAGAGATGCCAGACACAGAAGGTCTCAACCTGCTATTACTAGACAAGGAGTGCAGGCAGCCTCTAGAAACAGAGAATAACTCCTAGCTGACAGCCTGCAAGGAACTGGGACCTTAGCCCTACAACCCCCAAGGAACTAAATTCTGACAATAGCTCAAACGAGCATGGAAGGGGATTAATCCCTGAGGCCTCCAGAAAGGAATACAGCCCTGCTAACACTTTAACTTTGTGCTTGTGAGACTAAGCAAAAGACCCAACTGAGCCATGAACACGGACTTCTAATCTTAAAGAACTGTGAGATAATAAATTTGAGTAGTTTTAAGTCACTAAGTTCATGTTAACGTGTCATAATAGCAATCAAAATTAAAACTTAAATGCATCTGCAAAATTCCATTTACCATGTAACATGACATATTCACAGGTTTCAGGGCTTGGGGCCTGAATATCTTTGGGGAGCCATTCTGCCTACAACAACATAAGACAGAGTATACTTTTGAATGAGGGATATTACCAGGGACAAATAGGGAAGTTGATGATGATAATGGAATCAATTTGTCAAGAGGATCTAACAATTGTTAATGTTTATGTACCTAATAATGAAGTGTCACAATACACATGTAAAATATTAATCAAACCAAAAGGAGAAACAGAAAAATCCAGTTATGAATGGAAATGAAGACTACTTTCTCAGTAACTGATAGAACACACAGACAGAAAGTTATTAAAGATTTACATGACTGTAACAACACTATCAACCAACTTGACCTATAACCAACTTGACCTAATTGATATTGATAAAGAGTTCCTCCCAACAACAGAATACAAATTCCTTTTAAGTGCACATGGAACATTCAAAAAGATAAACTGAATTCTGGACCATAAAATAAATCTCACTGTGTTTAAAGGCTTGAAATCATACAAAGTAAATCTCTAAACACAATGTAATTCAAGAAGAAATCAATAACAGATATCTGGAAAATTCTCAAAATACTTGAAAATTAAACTTCTAAATAATCCATGGGTTAAAAAAACATAAAGAAAACTGGAAAACATTTTGGACTAAATGAAACTAAAAACACAACCTACCAAAATTTGTGAGATACAGCTAAAGCAGTACTTAAGAGAAATTTTAGCATCAAATGCTTACATTAGAAAAGATATCAAGTCAAAGATTAAAGATTTTACCTTAGAAACCAGAAAGGAAAGTTTAAAAAAGTAAACAGAAGGAAGTAAATATAAACATACAAATCAATGAAATACAGTAGAAAGACATTAATGGAAAATGAATAAAACTAAAAGCCATTTCTTTGAAAAGATAAAGAAAATTGGTAAATCTATAGCCAGAGTGATCAGGAAAAATAAAAAGAGTAGACACAGATGACCAATATATAGAATGAAAGCACAGATATCACTACAAATCCTCTAAATAGTAAAAGGATAAAAAGGGAATATTATGAACAACTTTATGCCAGTAAATTTCTTAAAAGAAAGACATGGAGCCAGGCATGGTGGCGCATACCTATAGTCCTAACCCTTTAGGAGACTGAGTTGAGAGTATTGCTTAAGCCCAGGAGTTCAAGACCAGCCTAGGCAACATAGTGAGACCTCACCTCTACAAAAAATTTTTTCAAAAAAAGTTACCCAGGTGTGGCGGTGCATGCCTGTAGTCCCAGCTACTCGGGTGGCTGAGATGGAAGGATTGCCTGGGCCCAGGAGGTTGAGACTGCAGTGAGCCATGACCATCCACTGCATCCAGTCTGGGTGACTCTGACTCAAAAAAATAATAATAATAAAATAAAATAAAAAGAAAGATATAGAAACTGAAATTCTAGTTAAAGTCCTGCTCACAAAGAAAATGCCAGGCCCTGGCAAAATCTAAAAAACATTTAAGGAAGAAATAACACAAATCCTTCACAAATTCTTGCAGAGAAACACAAGGAAGGGAATATTTCCTAATTTATTTTATGAGGCCAGCATTACTCTGACACCAAAACCTGACCAAGAAAGAAAACTACAGACCAATATATCTCATGAACAGAGATGCAAAAATTCTCAAAAAAGATTTAGCTACTTTTATCCCACAATATATAATAAGGATATTACATTATGACCAAGTATGATTTAGCCAGGAGTATGGTTTAGCCAGAATTGCACAATTGGCTTAACATTTGAAAATCAGTTAATATGCTTCACTGTATTAGTAGACTAAAAAAAGCCACATGACTATCTCAAAAGTAGCAGAAAAAGTATTTGACATAATTAACTACCCATTCAAGATAAAAGCTATAAACAAATTAGGAATAGAAGAACATCTATGAAAAACCAACAGTGCTGGGCTCGGTGGCTCAGCCTGTAATCTCGCACCTTTGGGAGGCTGAGGTGAGTGGATTGCCTGAGCCCACGGGTTCGAGACCCGCCTGGGCAGGTGAGACCTCATCCCTACAATAAATCAAAAAAATTAGCCGGGCGCTGTAATTCCGGCTACTCGGAAGGCTGAGGCGGAAGGGTCACCGGATCCTAGCAGGTCGAGCCGCCACTGCACTCCAGTCTGGGCGACAGAGTGAGACTCCAACTCAAAAAAAAAAAAAAAAAAGAAAAACCAATAGTTATAATGCTTAATGGTGAGAAACTAAATATTTTCCTCTTAAAATACAAAACAAGGCAAGTATGTCCATTTTAACATATCTATTCAACATTGTACTGGAGGTCATAGTCACAGCAATATAAGCAAGAGAAAGGCATACAAATTTGAAGAGAGGAGTAAACCTGTCATTATTCGCAGACAACATAATTTTCTATGTAGAAAATCCTAAGGAATCTACAAAAAAGCTATTAGACCTAATAAGTGAATTTAAAAAATCACAGGACTTAAAGCAAATGTACAAAACATTATTGCATTTCTAGTTATTGCAGTTATTGAGGAGCAATGACAAGCTGGAAATAAATTTTGGAAAAAAACTCTCATCTACTGAAACGTTCCTATAAATTGAAAACTATTATAAAATTTAAAGTTTATGGAAAACTATCATTTACAATAGCATTGAACATTTAAAAAAATACTTAGGGATAAACATAACAACATATATGCAAGTCCTGTACACTGAAACCTACCAAAAACTGCTGGCTCAGTATGTTCAGGCCACTGTAACAAAATATTAGGGGGAGTGGAGCTAATAAACAACAGAACTCTATTTCTCACTGTTCTAGAATCTGGAAGTCCGAGATCAGGGTACCAGCATGGTTGGGTTCTGCCAAGGGCTCTCTCCTGGGTTTCAGAAAGTTAACTTCTTGTTTCCTCACATGGTGGAAAGACAGTGAGCTAGCTCTCTAGCTTCTTCTTATAAGGCCACTAATTCCAATCATAAGAGTCCCACCCTCATGACCCACTCACCTCCCAGGGGCCCCACCTCCACATACCATCACCTTGGGGATTAAATGTCAGCTTATGAAATTTGAGGAAACACAGTTTCCTTAGCAGTCTATGACAACTGTTAAGAAAAATTAAATACCTAACTAAATGGAGATATATACCATGTTCATAGATTAGGAAACACAATACTG